ATATATAATTAGTTATGAAAAGATCTAATAACATATGTAATTTTATATGATTATATAAAATTCAGATCTTTTCACAACTAATTATATATATTTACATCTGACCAATTATACCATTTTTTCTCGGGTAATTATACTTAAATGCAATTTTTAGAAATTTTGTTTTATTACTGTGCAACAACTCGATATGCAATATATTTTTGAGATATTTGACTACAATAAGGTTTTATTATAATTAAAAATATTTTTTATTTAGCATTAATAAAAAATAAGTCATACATTTAAACGGTTTTATTTATCAATGCCGATTATCGACGTAAGCGAAATTAAACAAACAAATTCAAAATTAGAGTGATTATTTGTTATATTCGCAAGATTTTAACAAAAAAAGGAAAGAGAAAAAATAGATTTGCTTCTCTCGGCTGAGATGAATTTTTTAGAATCCGTTTTGTTGCATTTCCGTGTCATTCGCTTTTTTATTTTCGAACGCGGCACGCGGCGTTTGCCGGCAGGATTGAAATGATTTACCGCGCATAGATCCGATTCGTGCTAGTGAGAATAAAATAAATAGCTACGCGCTCGCGATGAAAATTTTCGTCGAGGCGAAATTCCAGTCGAGCCGAGTCGAACCGAACGTGACGCGCCTCCCTTTTGTTCCTAACCGTTGTCGAGCACAAAACGCTAGGAAGGTCCTGCGTGTGACGATTTATCGTCCCACTGCGTATCCATTTTATTTCCGCGCTGCTCGACGAAATATCTATATTGGGAGGAAAAACTATATCCCACGGGATTTTCCGGGTAGCGTCGATGTTCGGAAAACGCGAAGCGATCTCGGCGTTTAGTCGACTCGCAAATGGATTTTGCGTATAATTGAATGTCTCCTTTTTCTCGTTTGAATATTATAGTCGCGGTTTGGACGATTTTATTCGAGTCATTGGGCGGAATAGTGGTAAAAATAGGGTTTCCCTCGTTTTGAAAGCTAAAAGGTTTTGTGAAAGCAATGAACCGTAAAGAGCATAACAAAGATTGGCATGGTAAATTTTGAAACACGGTGAATTTCAGTGAAATATACATGCAAATTGACAGTAGAATATTTATTTTAACGAGAGATTTCGACATTTTATGAAGTTATTTATTTCTATTCTTTATTACTAAATATTGCACTGCTAAATATTGTAAAATAATTGAGTTTACATTTATCATAGTACAAAATACTTCTGGAAACAATATTATATTTATTTGTTTTAAAATGGATACATATTTAGATATTTATCTACACAAATTTATAATTGCAATTATTAAAATTGATATAAAGAGTTATTTATTATAGCATTGATTAACCAATTTAAATATTTGTAAAAAACAATATAACTTATAAGATACCGTTTATAAGTAAAAATAAAATAAGATTATATAATATGGAATATATGAAAATACTAGAAACTTATCTCCCCAATATATACTATATCTATATACAGATTGTCCTAGACCACCCGTGTTTAGATCATTAGTTAATAGCAGATTTTTGAGGTCATTTGGAGACAAAACATTTCAAAATATCGAAGCTACATTAGTTTTTAAATGGAAAGTTAACCAGATTGTTAAAGGTTGTTGAATCAGATTGTCAAAAATTCCGCGCATTACAATATTGATTTTTATATTACTATATAAAAAACTTTAGAAATCTGCCATATTAACAAGTGATACGATTAATCTGGACATTCTGTATATATTTTACAACATTCTGAAATCTATTTTTATAAAAATGACATTAAAATAAAATAAATTGAACTTACCGGCACGATGCACAGTAGCGAAGTTATTGTTCTGTTGGTCTATAAAGTTGATCCGTAAAATATAAAAAACATCCAGATTACAGCACCTATAAAATAATTAGTATCTGAGAAATATTTGCTTTATTATCATTGAGCTTTTTATTTGTTCTTTAAGCAAATAGCTAATAAAAAAATTATAAAAAATTTTAAAATTTCTTTGAAATAATAATATTTATGTAAAATAATTCACACAATAATTATAAATATTAAATATTATAAATGTTTTACTGAAAATTTCAAATATTTTATATGAAACATTTGTAATTAATAGATAATAAATAAACGATAAATACCCCGCAGATGCCCGATGCCTGTCCTGAAACTGTTCCTCCTCTTTTAGTATAGGAACACGATTCACTCACGATTCACTTGCGATTCATTTGCTATTCATTCGCGAAAATCCGATTAAATATTATCGCGCGACATTTTATACGGCATTTCCGATGCATACTTTGTCGCATGAGGACAAAGATAATATTCAGATCGCACGAATACATTCAACTGTAAAAAACAATGGAAGAAAACTTGTGAAAAATGATTTTATCTCATCAACGTACTGATTTTGAAGGATAATTATAACGAATAAGTAAAGTAATAACGAGTAGTAAAGATGTATATAGTATAGAAGTAGTGAGGATGATAGAAATGAAAAGAATAACACTCCGATACACGCAGAGAAAGTGAGAAGGGAGGGGTTGTTTACGTCCTCGCGCTTAGACTGAACTCTCTCTCTCTTCCCTCTCTCTTGTGCTATATATCAGCGCGCACATTCCACACATTTCTTCAAACGGAAATCTGCGTAACCTTGTCCTGTGGTATTTCACACGTACGGAGCAAATCGTCGGTATCGGACGTATCGGAGCGTATCAGCGCGTTATATCCATTATTTTTACCATTCTTACTGCTTTCATACTATATTTTTACTACTCTCTTGTTATAATTATTCTCGAAAATCACTACGCCGATGAGATAAAACCATTTTTCACAAGTTTTCTTCCGTCGTTTTCTATAGAGTCTCGAACGTATCCGTGTAATGATATCTGACAATGAGTATTATCTTTGCCTCAAGTGACAAAATACGCGTCGGGAGTGCCGTATGTTGCTCGATGTTGCGCGATAATAATTAATCTGGTTTTCGCGAATAAATCACGAAAAATCGTGTTCCTACTGAGAGGAGGAGCAGGCTCAGGATGGGCATCGGGCATAAGCGGACCAACTTTAAGGTATTCATCACCTATTAATTGTAAAATATTTCATATGTGTTATTTGAAATTTTTAATAAAACATTTACAATATTTAATATAATTTATGATTATTGTGTGAATAATTTTATACATTTATTATTATTTCACGTAATTAAATTTTTGATATATATAATTCTTTTAGATATTTGCTTATGAGACAAATAAAAAGTTCAATGGGCGCAAATATTTCTCAGATATGAATTATTTTATACGTTATTATAATCTGAATGTTTTTTTATATTTTACAGATCAACTTTGCGGAACAACAATTCCGCTGCTACGCATCGTATCGGTAAGTCATTTCAATTTGCTTTATTTTAATTGAAAAAATAGATTTCAAAATAATACAAAATATAGAGTATTCCAGATTTATTGTATCACCCGTTAATAGCAGATTTCTAGCATTTTTCATATGGAAAGTATATAAAAATGAATATGCAAGTCTGAGCGCTGAAATTCTTGATAATCTGATTCAACTTTTGATAATTTAATTTTCCATTTAAAAACTATTCTTGACATTTTGGAATTAAGATTTTTGTCTCCAAATAATCTCAGGAATCTGCTATTAACTGATTACATGGTTGGTCTGAGATAATCTGTATATATGTAGATATATTTGAGGTTTAGTTTTTAGTATTGAAATAAATCCCAAGATAGATATAAAATATTTCAACTGATATTTTTACATATTTTTATTTTTTTTTCATTAAAATACTCTATATTATATAATCTTATTTTTATTTTTGCACATTATGAGTTTATATTGTTTTTTAAAAATATTTAAATTTGTTAATCAATGTGTGTAAGCTGTATTATTAAAGTAAAAGTGGCACTAAAAATTAGATATAATAAAAATATAAAAAATGTATGTGTATGTTTGTGTACACGCACATTATTCAATATATACATATATATTTTTGGGGTGGGATATATTAATAAACATACAATGCGTAGAAAACGAAAAACTTCTTTTTATTACATTCGTTGTGTCATGAGATTTTATGGTGTTGTCGATTTTATCATGTCTTCGTCTACATGGAGACTCGCTCCAAAAAAGTAGCCTCCATGATTTTTCTCTTTTGTTTTTGATACACTGTATAACTGTACAATTGATTCGATTCGTAACAAGATCGAAATAAGAGTTTTCAGTTTCGGTCTTTTTCCTATTTTTAGACGCGTTATCATTTCGAATGTCGATTCTTTTAGAAGATGGCACTGTAGGAAAGATTGAAAATTATATAGTTAACGCCGTAAAATTGGCAATTGCAAGAAAATTTATATCTAAATTTATTAGATACGTATATAATTTATATGCATAGATTTTGAAAACTATATATATCTATTATTTTTAATTTAAATGAAATAAAACTCTGTTAAAATTTATATCAAAAGTATTGTAATTTATACTTTATACTATAAAGTGTGACTCTTTTAGAGGCAAATAAAAACAAAGAAGACAAGAAGATGGATAGCCTTCTTTTTATTGCCTTTTCTTTGTCATTATGTTATAATTAAATTCGAAAAATTCTGTTAATATTATAATAATTTTATTATAAGATTATGCCATTATTAGTTTCTAAAAAAAATTTAATATAATACATTTAATATAATTAACTTTCTTATTTTTTTCTCTAAAATTAACTTCTTACAATATAGTTGTATTAATGTAGCATTCGATCAGTTCTCCTTAATTTACTTAAACAATGATTAAAACTAACTAAAAAAAGCAGATTTTAAGATATTTATATGAAAAAGTTTTAGTTACAAAGTTTTTTCTTGAAATTGCCAATTCAACTTTACTTAAAATTTTTTTAAAGTATAAAAAGTGAAGCATTGGTTATACAAATCTTAATGTAGATGCAATGTAAGATATTTTCATCTATTAATAAATCACTTCTGCGATAGCGACGGTTAGCAAAAGAGAAACGCATAACGCGCGTTTACGCATTTTAATATCGTGAAGAAATATAATTCGATATTACTTCTATGCTTCCTCTGATGCATCCTGTTTACTCGTTCTTCTTTTATATTATTCTTGCTAGTTTCTGAAGCGATTTTTTCCAGTCCTTTTCTCTGTTTCTTTCGATCGTATGTGCGATATGTACCAACGGATAGTTACAACTTATTAATAGGTTATTTATATAATATGTATACAATATATATATATATATATATATATATATATATATATTTATATTTATAATACTTTTTCGTCAGAGAGTTTGTTCATTTCTCGCTATTCTTCGTATATTATACACGCGTTATACACATATGTATATTATTATGTACTTTTCCGAGTGTTCCAAGTGCACTGTTCCTTTTTTACTGACATTTTTTAGCGGACTAAATTTAATCTTTCTCATTAGAGAATATTTTGAGCCGTTATTGGTAAAATCATTTTTTACTTTCCAATATCCATTAACGTGATGTTAAATATCTTATAAAAGATTGAATAGTACTTAGCAATATCCAGTTTATAAATATTTAACTGCAATTTTGTGCACAAAATTTGCTGTTAAAAGGCAAGTTAGCGAACCTGGCACACCGTGTACAAATATACGTGTTTCGCGCATGATCTCACCATTCGGATAATTTCTGATTTTCCGATCTCGCATATACTTACACCAATAATAGTAATAATGAGATAAATCTGATAAAATCCGAAAGTTCCGACTGAACTATTACAATCGCGGCCGTGAAATTTTGCTGGAATTCGTCTCGATACATCAGTAACAGATGTACGTGAGGTTCGGCACAGGAGCTTTCTGATTATGAACTTTCAGTACACCTCCTCAAGGAATCGAGAATCTCGAATTCCCTTGAATAGAAATATTTAAAAAAATTTCTTGCTCGCGGAATGCTGAGCGGGTGCGACTTGCGCGTCATCGCGCTCTTATTGTTCGGGACAACGGGGGTGTACACCCAAACCGAAGGAAATGCCCCGTTCGCGTCCTGTCGGAATGAAATTCCGAAGACGTTTCGCACGAGCGTTTCGCACAAATGTCACCGTACTTTGATCGAATACATCGCATTCCAAGAAATGCTGATATTTGCATCGATCGGCGCCTCGGAATTTTTTGCCGCATTCTGATTCTCATAATTTCTTACGTGCAGCGACATTTTAGATCTGATTCAAGTAATTCGATCGATGCGCGATTAAACTGATAATGATCTGATTTGGATAATAATGCTATAAATTTACGATACGTTTTCCTGCGTTTTTAATTCCGGAATTGCAATTTTTTCGCCGGATTTTGTATGCCTGCGGGTGTAGCGAATTTGCAATTCGGTGGTGGGTAGATTCTCGATACACGAAAGCACCCGCGGGACGACTATATATGAATTTTTTTGCGCATATTTCCGGAATATAATACAATGTATTCCTTAATGCGTTTTTCCCGCGCTTCTAATTTCGAGATCGTGATTTTTTTCCGCCGGATTTCGCATGCTCGCAGGTGTTGCGAATTCGCAATTTAGAACTAGTTGAATTCTCGATATGCGGTAGCACTCTCGAGACGACGACGATATGGATTTTCCGGGCGCAGTCAACGTCGCACCTGCGGGCGCGCATCCCGCGTGAGCAATTTAATCAGATCCTTCTGATCCTTAACCCAGCTGCGCGCGGTTGGCCTCTGCACGAATGAGAGAAAAAGGTCGGGGAAGGACATCTCGTTGCAACGACGAGGACTATAGAGTGGGCGGGAAAAAAGATGAC